TAAGACACAGAAGGAAATGGCGGAGACCTTATAGAGTATATATATAAATGATCAGCGTGATGAGCTGAGTCGATTTAGCCATGTCCATCTGTCCGTCTGTATATACGCGAACTAGCCCTCAAATTTTGAGATATCGATCTAATTTGTTTTTGTGCACGTCCTTTTTTCCCCAAAAAGCTGTTCATTTATCGGAACAACCAATATCGGAAAACTATAGCATATAGCTGCCTTACAAACTGATGAACAGCATGATTGACGTAATCCTCGTAAGTCCTACCTGGTTGCCGATGAACTGACGTGGCACGTTCTGATTGGTCCAATAAGCGAAACGGGAGCAATTAGTCAAACTACACAGTAGGCAACGGATGAAAACTTTCAGAGGTTCGAGTTTAAGGTAAATTACTAATATCGCTCTAACCGCCATTAAATATAATTCAGTTAATTGTAAAAAATTCACACTTCTTTTTAACAGCCACCATACACACTGACCGATTCGCTAGAACTTCTTCTGGCAAAGAATTCTAAACAAGAAAATTTTAAATTACTCTTTACAAATAAAAAAGTGCATTAATAGTGTAAAATATGTGTTCAACTGGTGCCGATGTTACTGGTAGTATCAGAGCATATTCGACGATCTCTGAAAGCATAACGAATGGTAAGTAAAACGTTGAACTCAATGCTTGCCAATTTGCTCCATTCATAAACTCGTTTGTCATCTATATACTCAGAAATATAAGTGAATTGTTCGACCAGCTTATGTCAAGTAGTGTCTGATGCTTTCAAAATATTATTTTCTGTGAGGAAAATAAACTTTTTCTCAATTTTTTCCCAGTCGAGTTTATCAGTGAGTAGCACCTAACCCAATAGTTTTACATGAGCAAACTGTTGAGTCCATGCCTCAAATATTCATAGCAATCACCTGATTGACATATTGTAAAATTAAAATTGATTGCAATTAAAAATAAGAAAATGAAAATTGAGGAGTAAAATTAAATATTTACTTCGAAATTCTTTCGTTTCTACTTCAAATTGCTTCAGGTCATTGTTTTTTTTCAGGTTCTCCATTTCCGCTTTTACTTGCAACGGAAAGTAATTGGTTGGTTGGATGTTTGCAAATTGTTCATTGAATGTTGCAAGCCTAATGGCCTAAAAATTATGAGATAATAATTAAATAATTTCTCGATTTTGGAAAAATTTCAGTTAATAAAAATATATTTTCACCTGTTCATGTACAAAAATGAACCAGAGCTTCGATAGTGGATTACTGAATGAGTGGCGGATATATCTGGCTTTTTTGAAACATTCGAATGATTTTCCCCAAAGCTTCTCTCAAGCCAATGAACCAACTTTTGCAGTAACCAACCAGTTGGTCGTATTCGCCTTCAGAAATCTCGCGGATTGACTTTAATGCTTCTGTGCGAATGGTGTGGATGTAAAAATGTGTGTAGATTTGAACAACAATGCTCTCTATTTCGACATCAAGTGCGTTACATGCGTTCCGAATTGTAAAAAGTGAAAATAAATATAATTCAAAAAAAAAATAAAAAACACGCTTTAAAAAATATTTATATTTATTATGTGGTACTTGTTTTTCACTTTTAAGTTGGAAGTGCTTTAAAAGCATATTCTTTAGTTTTTGAAACTATATTTGTTTCATATAATATTGATTGGACAAGAGGAGAGAAAAGGCCAGTATGACAACAAGAGAAGAAGTTATGGTGGACTATATGAATTTGACTGATTAAATTTTACTGGAAATAGTAACAATGGAAAATAAGTAGGGAAGGGTTAAGTTCGGAACCTCCATTTGTCATAACATCAAGTCTTCTGTTCTTAAATATAGCCATCATCAATATCAATTGAAATTTGAAAACTTTTGTGCAACTTGAGTTCTCTTTGGTGCAATCAATTTCGATGCAATTGCAAATATCTATGTCTGCTACCGTTATGCGAGCATGACAACATAGGTGCGACAACCGGAAATTCTCATGCAACCAAAAGTGAAATCCAGGAAATTGTCATTCGTAGTTGCTGTTGTTGTTGCAAAAGTTTGACACTTCAGCAGGTGTAAAGTAGGCAACTGATAAGGCGGAGAAGCAAAAAGGTAATCCAAAGCACGTTTTGAACAACACTTCTTAACTTAGTTTATTTTCAAAAGTAGTTAAAAACTTTTTTTTAGAAATTCATTTTTATTTGCGGCACTATTCAGTTGAACGCTTAAGAATATGCGTGTGCCATAAAACTCGCTCGCAAAACAAACTGAAAAAAGAATAAAATTATTTGATTACTGCATTTAATTGAAACTTTTTTAGTTGACACATATTTTTCAGCAACTTCGTTAAAGTTTGTGACACTTTTCAAGCACATAACGGTGTTCGTTTTGCTTGAAGTTCTTTTCAGGAAAAAAGGAAATTCCGTTAATAACTCTGTATTATACATTCAAAATATCGAATTTAAGTGTAATTTAGCTATGATTTATTTATATTAGTGGGCTATCTCGATCTCATTTCCCAGTTGTTTCTCTAAACAATGAACAATTTTTTGTTATATTCTAGGAATATTTTGATTGGTTTGCGTTCACTGTATTGAAAAAAAGTGACAACACTTTTAAACACTTCGAAAGAAATCTTGGCTTGCTATTTTTGCTTTAATTTTTATGAAATTAAAATATTTAAACGGTTGGCAATCTTGCGCAAAAACAATTGTTCTTATATATCTTTTGCATTGATGGCCATTTTTCAATATTTTAATTACATTATAACTTTAGTAAAACTAAACATTTTTAAACAGACGGCAACGCCAAAAGTTGTTTCAACTATAAGCTTTTTGAAAGTTCGGCTGTTCGATGTCTATATTGTAATAATTTGTGTATTCTCAAATCAATTTAAATAAAAAATTTAAGCAGATGGCAGCACTTCTCAAAAATATTTACAGTTTTAAGCCTTTGGAATATTTTTGATTTCGTACTCATGCAATAAAAATTCCTTTATATTATCGATTCTCTAAATTCAGAATTTTCGTAACCCAGCCTAAAAAAGACTTTCTTTAGACAGATGGCATCCGCCAAAGGTATTTTTAACTGTTTGTGAAACTTCTTTAGTTCGATATCTACGTTTTAATATATTATTTATTTTATTATTGTTTTTAATAAAAAAAGTAGTCACCTGGCAGCACTTCTCAAAAGTATTAAGTATTTTAAATATTATTAATCATACAATAATAATTCGTTTATATTATCAATTTTAATAAACTAGAGATTAATGTAATTAACCTAAAAAATTTTATACAGATGGCAACGCTTCTCAAAAATATTTACAAGGGCCAATCCCTTTAAATGATTTTGAGTTCACTCATAAACTAATGATAAAAATAATTTTGTTATGTTAATTCAGAATATTTAAACATGTTGCAATCCAACTCAAAAAATAATTGCATTAAATAATGGCAAAACTATTTTCAACTTTAAGTACTCAGAAATCTTTTCAGCTCAATGTCTATATTGTAATGTTTTGTGTATTTAAAAAAAAACAAAATTTATATATATATATTAAAACATTTCTCAAAAATATTTTTAATTTTAATTCATGCAATAACAATTCGTTTATATTATCGATTTTAATAAAATAATATGTAGTCAGTGGTTTTAACTTAAAAAACGCTTCTCAAAAACGGTACCGATATTTTACCTAAAATTTTTTAACACTCTCTTGTTTTCTTTGTTTTGGAAAATCTGTTCTGAATGCTGTTAAAAATTTATTAATATTGTAAAGAAAAGTAATTTGTTAAGATTGATTCAACTTATTTTTAATAGTGTTAGCGATTGTATTGAAATTTTTATTTAAGAAATGTTTAAATTACATTCCATTAATTGACTCTTATTAGTTTAGAATTTTTAACTTTACTATCAAAGGATATTAGGTCATATCCATCAGATGAAATAAAAGTTATCTATAATAACAGAACTTTGGCACACCCTTATAATAGGCATGCAAAGTTAGAATATTTCCGTTTCTGTCATCAAATAACAGCATATTTTTTCCATTCTCACAGTTGCCAAGTCTTTTCCGCTTATTCATAATCAGTTTATTTTCAATTTCTGTCTTATCTGTCCTGTCAAGCGCAGCATCCTTTTGTATCCAGGTTCAAATTTGTTTTCTTGTTTTGTCCTGAAATTTTCTTTATTTGCCAAAACATGTTTAATTTATGGTTATTTCTCTGCTTTCTTACTCACAAATTCGTTTTCTATTGTTGTACCTTTTTCAGCAAAAAGTCAAGTTCCGTTTATGTGCTGTTTACAGCAGAAGTTTATATTCACGTTACATACTTGCAGGCGTTTGAACTGCTGTGCGCAAAGTTTTGCTCTGCACAGTGACGTAGCAATTTTGTTCGCCATTTTCTGAGTCAATTCAATAATTTAAGGTAAGACAACACTCTTTTGGCACTAACGAAAATTTTTTTCAAGGTTGCCACGTTTTTGCGCACTTTTTTTAATTTATCTAATTTTTTTCTTATGCTCTTCCTTTCAAAACTTATCACGGCTATGCTAATGAAATTTACACTCTACCGCTTGTTTGATTTCGAAACAGTTATATAATTTTAATTAACTTTTGATTGTGTTGTTGTTCATTGTGTTTGTCTACGTCTCTCAGGCGTCCAGTCCTGTTAAAAATTGTCTGAGCGTAAGAATCTCACTAAGTAAAGTTATTCTCACATATTTTCTGGCATGTGGATGTACAGTGCGTATGCGTAATATTGGATGCTTAGAAATATTTGCCTTCGTTAAAAAAACAAATATTTCTATGACAATATAATAAATTTAATTGCTGATATTTAACTTAATAAAAGTTTTTTCATTTCCGTACTGGAAACTTTTAATGCAAGCGTTTAAGTCATGAAAGTTGTTCAAAGATTTTTAGATGCCAGGGCGTATGAGCAACTTTCATTACAATACAATATAACACTTACTAAATGTGCAACAAATTACTGCCATTCGCACTCACCTGTAATATGCTGGTTTTTCCGACGCCAGAGGCCCCCAAAAATGCAGCTTTAAGGGGGCCCTGCAGCCATGGGGGCTCCGCACCACCCTCCAGAGTGATGCGCTATGCTGAGATGCACTTATTTTGTATGTGAATTTCCATTGCGATTGAGATTTTCGTCGATTGCGTTTTATTGCTAGCGGTTGTTGGTGTTGGTGTTGCTGCACGATTCGGTGTGTTTGCTGCTGTGGTTGTTGCTGGGGCTGTGATTGTGGGCGTTGTTGTTGTTGCTGTGGTTTCTCTTCCTCTTGTTGCTGCTGCTCTGTCAGTCGCTGTTTCAATTTCAGTTTGAGTTGTTGTTGTTGCTGCTGCTGCTGCTGCCTTCGTTGCGTTATGTATTTGCGGTTGCTGCCGATGAGATTGGTGATGATGTTGCTGTAATTGCTGCTGCTGCTGGTTGTTATTGTTTCCGACATAGTCGACGCTTCGGGTACTGCCAATAAGTAATTTCTTAGAATTTGTTGGCGATATTGTACTCCACATTATACTCGGCATATGTCTGGTTGGGCGAGCGACTTTAGCGGCGACTACGGTATAACGAATTGATGAGCACCTTTTGACAGCCTTGACTGCGTTCTTTGTGTTCTCTGTGTTTTTCTTTGTTTTTTTGCTTTTGTTTTTGTGGTTGCTTTTGATTTTGCCTATATTTTAACGCATATAAATAAATAATTTAATAATAATTGAAATCAAACACGCATACAACAACTTTTGCCGCTGCCTCGACCAGCGTATTTGCTTGTGTTTTTTGCTGCAATTGAAGGGTAAATATGAAATCTGATTTCTGATTTCTGATTTGTACGATTTGTGATTTGAGTGCGAAATCAAAATATCTCCGCTGCTCTCTCATGCATCCTTGTTGGCTTTGCTGATTGATTTGATTACTTGGTGTTGTGAAACTTGAATTTTGTTGTTGTACTTAGTAGTGTTTATATGTATGTATATGCGAGCTATTTGTTATTGTTGTTGTTGTTGACGTTGCTATTTGCTTGTAGTTACCTTAAATATTTATGTTTGTTTAAGATTATTATTGCTTTTCTTTTTGATTGTTGCTGTTTACGGCATTTCAATTTGCATTTGCTTGCTGTTTGTTGTTCCAGTTGTTGTTGCTCTTAAAATGTTCTTCGCTCAACTAAAGTTATGCGTTTGCGTGTGAGTTTGTCTGTGTGCTTGTCAGATGTTGAAAGGATTTAGTTGCGATTTATGCAAAGTTGGTGGCACGTCCTCCGCACGCTTCGTATGCTTGATGCTGCTCACACGTCCTTTCGCTTTGCAGACAATACTTTCTTGAATACTAAAAAGCTTACCGCACCAATTCTCAGGTTGTTGTCGATCTTCGGCGAAGACTTTTATGATTTTTTGGCGATTTTTCTCACGCAGCTACTAGTTTCTGTTGTTTTTGTTGTTACTGACTTTTGTATTTTCTGCTTTTGTGCACTTTATTTGTTTGCTACGCTTCATTTCTTGCTGTAACGAGAAAAACAATTGAAGAAGAAGTTATTTGAATGTAATAGCGCTTTTGATTTTTGTAAATTATGTGTCTGTTTTTGATTTTTTCGTCGCGCATTTTCTATTTCAAATCTATTGTAAGCTTTAAGTGACACTATGCTTCCAAGTTTTTCACATGCAACCCGATTGAGGATATGTTAAGTGCATTACTGCAAAAATAATTAATATTTTTGTTAATGAAAACTTTAAAGGAAATTTTTTAGTTCTATATTTTTTATTTTATTTTGTTTTTTTATAAAAAGAGTGAAAATGCCTGCTCAATTTGTTTGAAAATAATTCATTTCCTCACCATAGCTCTGAAAGTTACTCATACACCGTGACCAAGTTTTAAATTTATTTAAATGTTAATACCGATAGCACATATACGACCTTATCACTGGAGACTTAACAAAGAATATATTAAAAATTGGTGACAAATTAAAAATTTTAACTTAACTACATCATGGTAAATATCAATAGCCTAAACTAACTTAACCTAAAAAGTAGCGTTGTTGTTTTTATTGCATTAAAAAATCGCTATACATATATTTTTACTAAATTAACCAAACCAACAACAAAAAATCAAAAGTGTAAATTGACAGTTGAAAATATTTCAATCTCATTGTTCAAGGGATTTCTCATACGCTCTGGCAAATAATTTCTTTTTATAAAACAAGTTGGCAGTCAAAAGGTTACTCATACGCTCTGGCAAATAGTTTCTTTTATAAAACCAGTAGGTAGAGAACAACGATTAGCGTTTTTAAATTTGTGGAGACTAGTTCTTTTTTCACATAAAAATATACCATATCGGGTCTTCACTACTAATCCTATCAGACGAGCACGTACTTACCGGGAAAATTATATTCTTGGAAATATATGTCTAGCTTTCACTAGACTAGACTGAGGTTGATTCACTTGGGTAGTCATATCTTTAGCGAATTGACTGGAATTGATATTAGTCAACCCGACTAATTTGTGTCAGGCCCAAAGCGCTTTGTCGTTATACGCAGCAGTTCTTTTTGATCTATACTCAGAAGTTCTTCGCTACAAAAAGGTTCGGTGTTCTTAGCTCTGCAAATAGAATTCTTCGTTTCCCTTATCATGGAGCTCAGACCTGACAAAATCACATGTTTCTAACATTTCTTTTGCGAACCTCAGGACTAATTCCGCCACTTAGACTCTCCCTTCAAAAATAAATATTTGGGTTTTACTAAAGCTACAGAAATTCACCTTGTCTAAAATTTTAAAGCTATAGAATAATTATAGAAAATAAATCTGTAGCTGTGAATGAAATAAAGATAACTTTGTCATCAGTTTGGACTTCCACCTGAAATCCTGCACCCTACCATTAATTGATCTTAACCCAGTATTTTAGGGCACCTTTCTCTATACTTAATATATTTCACGCAAGATTTCCATTTTTGATCACTGCTTTCCTCGTAACAACTTTCTGAGAGCGGTTTTTCTACTCCGTATTTTAGATAAAAAAGTTTTTAAATTGCCATTAACATAATCGTGGTGACACAAATAATTCTTTAATTAAATAGTAGTACAGTTCTTAATGAGTCTATTTTGCCTTCAAATATGTTACAAACTTCGCATACGATATTACCATTAAGAATAGCTGTCCGATAGACCAACCGACAACTACATACGAGTCAACCGCATAAATGTGCTCCGTTTTATGCTCGTGAACGAGACACTGTGTGTTGTCTGTCTCACCGACTTTTAATTTGTCTGCAGTTGATCATTAATTTTACGAATACTGTGGCATACTTAAGCGCCGCACAGACACTCTATCCAACAATCGCCGAAGCAGACTAACGGAAGCGATTCAGAGATGGTCTCCAGAGAGACAGTGGGAGGAAGAGAAGTTTGAGCTACAAGCTGAAGCAGGGCCAAACCCACGGGACAACGTTGCGGTACAGGCCGGAGCTTAGGTAGTCATGTTGACTGACACGCCTCTGTGAGCTCTGACGGCTGTTTGTGAGTTCGTATGTAAGGTATGCCTGTATAAGTTGTCATGTCATTTAAAAAACCACAACGGATGAGAAATTTATTTCGCATTAAAAGGAAGAAAAATGTTGTGAAAGACAGCTACATGACCGCACAAAGTGTACAGTTTTAAATGAGCGGTCAGAGTGGTGTAGGAAAGAGGAAGAAAACATAGAGCGAGTAAACGTGAGTTATGTTGCGATTAAGGTGAAGCCGAAAAGACGGAACAAAACTGGAAGAAGCATGGTGATGGCATTACTTGAAAAGGTCGTAATAAATTCTAAAGATAATGCTTTATATTGATAATGATGGAGACACGTTGTGGGACTCCAGCGGTTAATAATAAAAACACAACACTTTTTAGAACAAAAATGCATGACAACAATACGAGGTAAGTTAAGTGAAATTGAGGTGTGATTTAACAAATCAGACCCAGCGTAGTTTGTGGAGCCAGAATTCGCAATATAAATCCAAATGCGGCAGAAATATTTGCAGGAAGTTAGACACAAAAGCAGAGCAGAAGAACAATTGTGTCAAACGTACAATTCAAAATGGTCCTGTACGTGAACAAACAAAGCGCATTGACAGCGTTTGGCTAAAAGTAGGCGTTTACAAATCGATTGTGCCTCCTGGGCTTTAGCGTAGACAGTTAGCTGACGACTGCGGTTGCGACAATTCGCACAAAATTTATTCTGAAGGCAGACATTGCATTCTTATATACTCGCATCTGTCTTTGTGCGAATTTTGTGTAATGTAGGCACTTTGTGTTGAGTGCTATAATTTATCAAAATCAGGACAAGTGGGGATTTTTTTAGAGGTAGTAATATCAATGCGTTTCACCATGTACTAGTGGGGTACACGCGAGTACAATACGAACACTTGAAAATTTTGAATTTAAATTTCAACTGGAAATAGTTATGTAATGGAATTTCGGATTTCACATACGAGTACACAGAAAAATATGGGATACCGATCTGAAATTTTACAGACGTCCTTTTTTCTGCAAGAAGCCGCTCATTTGTCGGCTCCGATATCGGACCACTATAGCCCATAGTGCTATAAAAATTGAACGATCAAAATTAAGTATTAAATGTAAGTCTTTAACTTTCGAACGTAGTGTTAAGATCGAATCACTATAGCATATAGCTGCTATACAAACTGAACGATCAAAATCCAATATTTGTGTAACCTGTGAAAGGTACTATTGCTTCGATGCAGTCAAAGTTAACGATTTTTCTAGTTTTGTTCACTTTAAGCTCCAGCGATTCTTTACAATACTGTTATGTTTTGTTGAGATGTCTAACTTTTGAGAACGGCACAAATATTTTTATAATAACTTATTAAGAAGACTTGAGCCATATTTTTCATAAGTTCTCAATGCTTCTAAACTCTCATTAGATGCGAATTCAGGATCGACAGCGTTATTGTCTCATGTTTATCATTCAACCAGATAAGACCACATGAGAAGGAAGATTTTTAAACTCTTACTAGACTTTATGGACCTCTTTATTTTAAGGATATATTTAATTCAGAGCAATTCAAGCATATCTTTTAGGATTTGAAAGTCATCGGGAATGAGGGTTATTTAAGTTAAGGTAGAATAAATACTTTTCTCTCACTCTTTCTCGTCCCATTAAAGGTGCTCAGTTTCTAGCGGAAGTGAGATGACCTCATGTAGAGTCCTTTCCTTCAAAGCTTATGTTTTCCCTGGACGAAAATTTTCTAGGCACTTCACTTTGCCTCAACTAACGCCTATTTAATTGCTTAAGCACTTTAATACCAATACTTTCTTTGCGTGTTAAGCCGCTGAAAGGCTCAAGGTAGATTAACCAAGCGTTGTATTCAGCCAATAGATTCCCAGCAGCGATGGCATGAACTCGAAATAGGCGCGTCCGACGAACGTGACTTGATTGCTGAATTAGTTTGCAACAGCTTGCATTTGATGAAGCACGAAATAGAAGGCAAATAACAGCTTCATGGCTGGAGTGCAAATTCATTTATCAAGCGGTGGGGTAAGAGAAAAACAAAATCGCAAGTTTTCTACTCTTTACTGTATGGAAGCGATGGCTTTAGCTCATCCATTCGTCGGCAAATATTCGGTGAACTTAGTAGGGAACTTATTTCGTGGGTTTAAGCTAAATTTACATTTCACTTACTTCATAATTTATTTGAGTGATGGATTTAGAGAAATTATTGAATATTAAGAAAATCAGAAAATATGCAAAAAATTATAAAAAAATATCTAATTTTTTTGTAGGAATTTCGGCGCTAAGACTTGGATGTATTTTCTAATAATGAAAAGTATATGAAAAAAGAAGGTTGAAATAATTGGTTATAACTAAAGGCCATAACGAAGAATTGCGGAATTGAATCCTTATATTAACGGTAAAATGGAGTGCCAAAGATGATGTTCAGAACGAATGTGCAGATCTGAGTTGTAATTTGAAAAAAAAACTGCAATTTTTTTCGTAAGCAAGAATCCCCTTTAACTTCAGTTGCACCGAAGCTACATATAATACTCTTACAAATATTCCATACAAGAACTTGATTTTAGTTGGTAAGTTTATATGGGAGCTGTGTACTATAGTGATCCCATCCGAACTTTGAACAATAATCCATGCCAAACTTCGTTAAGATATCTCGTCAAATAAAAAGTTTTCCATACAAGGACATGCTTTTGATTGAACAGTTTGTATAGCAGCTGTATGCTACAGTGGTTCGATGTCGGCGGCTCCTACACATGAGCAACTTTTTGAGGAGAAAAGGATGTGTGCGAAATTTCTGTTCGATGTCTCACTCAGGGACTAGTTTACATATAAGTTCGCAAAATTATTGTCTTCTCATTTTGAAAAAAGTTAATTAAAAGTTTTGGAGAAATACATATTTCGAACTTTTTCGTCTACGGCAGGGCTTTCCTTGCCCCAATTTCACTTATATGTATTTAGATCTGATACTATCAAATACAGTATGAACAATTTCGTCTA